AAAATCACATAAAACCATATTATAACATCGATTAAGATAAAGAAATAAATTAAAATATTAAAATCAAGATGTATCTCGCTGTATCGCGCGAGTACCTCTCTACTTTTTATTAAATCATATATGCGTTAAATTATCTGTATGGATGAATTTATCTATCTAAAGAACGAGAAACCGATGGGTTTGAGGGAGGCAAAAAGAGATGGTTGGCTTAGTTATGGTGTATATCTGGTGTTGGTTTGTTTGTGATGGCTTAATGGAGACAAGTGAGAGATATTGACTTATTCCATATAGTCACTTTGGCTTAACGGCTTAACGGCTTAACGATTAAACTGTAAGCCACTCGGACCATTAAACTTATTAAATTGTAAGTAAACAACCCATGAATCCAACATATCTGAATACAGTAAAATACACCTTAAGAAAAAGAAAAACCGATCATTGTTGCTAAAAAAAAAATTTAAAACAACGTAAATATTATAAATTATAGTATAATAAAACTGGGTTTATAAGATGTCATAATTGTCTAATTATTCAGTAACTGTTTTATACGACATAAATTTATAGGATCAAATGATAAAACATTCCATCTAAATGTGTTGCAACAGGTTTATTGGACATTTTTGAACGTTTTAACACGTTTTTTTTACGATATCTCCAAGATAAAGTGTCGTAATTAGCTATTTACAGGACATCATTTGAAAAAATGTTTTATAAAAACAAGTGTCCTATAAAAAGATATGTATATACGACACCTCTCAAAATTATTCCATAAAATAGTTAATACGACACTTTATTTTGAAAATGTCCTTAAAAGACTTGTTAAGACGTACAAAATCATCCTATAAAAAGATTAATTTTTAAAATTCATAAATTTATCCCCCAGTACACTAATAATAATTATTGATCAACGTTATTAAGTCAAGTAAATTGGGAAATTTTGACTGGGCTGGAAAAAGGAAAATCCACTGGTAATTAACATTTCCAGCGATCGTTTTTCCGGCCGGGAAATCCACCAATAAACACATTTTCCTGCGGACTTTTGGCTGATTTTTTCCGCAGGAAGAGGTCCCCTGTGTTGCAGTGTACGGTTTGGTTCTATAAACTTAAACCATATATAGCATTCTACTAAAACGCTTAAACATCGTTAACGTCCTATAAACATGATTTCACTGTACTCATAGATTCGTTATCAACCGAAAAGACAATTAAAATAAATAAAATAAAAAACATAAATTCCTTATTATTATGAAATAATCCATAAGGAAAAGTATTTCTTTTTATTATAAAGTTAAAAATATTAATAAATTAAATGGAAACCACATATTTTAATTTTTAATATATAAAATGAAAATTACTTCACTAAGAAGCAGGGCTAGTGGCAAACACACTCTTAAAGCTTTGTTCAGTTGAGGATTTTGCTTTGGTAAATCCACCATTCTTCAAGGGCAATAATGTAATTACACATGCATTAAAAAAAAACTCAACTATTTATGCTTTAAATTGATTAGGGTTTAAAGCTACAGGGTGCTTGATTATATCAGGGGTGGGTGATAAAAATATATCTGATTTTTTTTATATTATATCAGATCCATCATCCAAAACTTTGTAATCATCATTCTCGCATTTACCCCCCCCCCCAAAAAGCGATACGTCGATTTATATCGTCTATGTCTCTTCTCGTACGTTTTCTACCTCTACGAAACAAGTGATGGTAACGAAATCGACACTGAAATCCAACACAGTTCAGCTAGAAGATAGAAATAATCTGCTTTCATGTGCGAGTTCTCATGTTTATTTTTGTCTTACTCGAAATCTGAGGAAGAACAAATGATATATATATATATATATATATATATATATATGTTGTGACACGATATGAAACAATACTGCTTTGTTTTGTATTAGGTGTCATGTGTTGTTTCAAAGTGTGAAACAACACATTAATGTTAATTAATTATACAGTAACATACATAACACCAGCAACACTTTAACATTATCAACAGTAACCAAAACAGAAACTTTCAGTAGCTCTTTTCTTGCAATACTGAACCAAAAAGTTCCCCAGATAAAGAACATTGTTTCAGATATACTACACATACTCATCCTTGATCATTCTGCAGTAGTATCTTCACTGTTGCCACCATATTGTCTAAATGTGAAAAATCAGGTGAATCAGTAGCATCGTTATCTTCTCGTTCAATCACGACCCTCTGTTCTTTTCTTTCTATTGCCCTCTCGATTTCCTATCTAACGGTTGCTCTACGTGGCTCTCTGTATTATTGATCAAGAAAATACAGGAAGTTATTGCTCAAACTGAGATATGCACAATCGAAATGAGATGAAACCGAACGAGAAATTTAAAAAAAGGCTAAATCGTTAAAGACAATCGATACATTAAAAACATCCACCATGTCGATATTTAATTAAAAAGGTAAAACTAGGGGTTGTTTGTTTACCTCTGAATAGTTCCATAAAGAAACAATATCTGAATCGGTAATAGGTGAATTTTGTTTGACAAAAAAGAGTTTGCCTCTTAATGATTCTAAAACCCTCTGAATTATTTTGTATCATGGGTCTTCCTTAACCATTTAGCGCCCTAATTTCATTGTAAACAATTATCAAACAATTATATTTCATTTTGCACTATATCATTAGAGTCTCTTAATCATTCTGACCACTTAATCATTTTGTACCAAACCATTCAGCAACTGTTAAATATCCCCTTAATCAAAGTTAATTAAACAAAATATTTATGAAAATTATAAGCGTTTTATTATATATTTTTCTTTACTTTTCAAAAAGAGAACCGAAACAAATGCATTAAAAAGTCAAATGAAATCACACATGTGATAATTAAAATAAATATGCATATTTTCCACGTGTGAAATTAGTTAATGTTGTATGCACACGTTTCTAATAAACATACAATTAGACATCGAATACGAATCTTCTTTCCAAGATACCATCTTGGAAACTTCTTATTTAAAATAGTAATATTTTATTAGGATAAATTGTATGAAAAAATAATGTACTTTTAAAACTTTCATTTTGGTATCTTAAATGAAAATTTTTAAACATTTAAGTACCTTACAACCGGTTGAAGTATTAACCGGTTATCATGTTGATGTAGTGAATGATGTGATATTAAACTCATTATTATTTGCTTAAGCATTAACCGGATACCACATCATTCGCCATATCAACCTTGTAACGCATTACTGAGGGATCCGTTGGTACTTTTTAAAATACGTCCGTGATTTACTGACTGAGTTATTGCTAACGAATTTTTCATCTAAAGGCCATTGTGAAATTATCGGCAGAACTATCTGACGACGATAACCATTTTTATTTGTTGTGTGACGGTTTAATCCAAATTGAACAAATTTCACAGACCGGTGGTTGAAATTGAATCGAAATCGAGGGGTCTTCGATCGGGAGAATGGGCCCAACTCTAATCACAATTGTTTATGGGCTTTAAGCCCAGTCCTAAACATTTTACATGACTACCCTAGGGCCTTGGCCCAGGCCCAATACGTTTATGCTTTTTTCAACTTTTTATTTGCAAAATTAATTTAAACCTTAATTTGGTTTTACTTTTTTATATTTCTGAAATGAATAATTTTTATTCCGTACTTAGGGGTCGTTTACTAAATACTTACTTGGTAAGTATTTACCGGATAAATTTTCTCATCGGATAAACATGAGAAGGGTCAGAATCTTACCGGGTAAGAGCGATGAGAATGATGAAGAGTCTTACCCGGTAAGTGAGGATGACAACTCCTACCCAAGCAAGCATTTACCCACTAAATTGTTGCACTTGATATGTTTTGGTATACTAAAATCTTACGCATCAAAATAAATCATAGTGTTGACTTCTATCGGTAAGCGCTTACCCGGTAAGCAATTGGGTAAACGGCCCCTTATTTTGACTGTTAATCTTATAATATTTTATGTTTAGAGTGTGAACTTTTTCAATATATAACATTTATAAACGACAAATACTCAGACACTGCTCATCCGTGGTGAGATTTAAATTCTTGACCTTTGATAGATTGGGTTCTACTGGTAACCTGGGTATGGCAGAGTCAAGGACCATTTAGTGTGGATGTCAGGTTGTCAATCAATATATTTTTTAACCATCAATCAATGTGCAGGGTTTTAGTATACAAGATTGAAGAGCAATTTTTCAAAGTACCAACTCGAACTCAGTTGACGAGTCAACTCAAGACCATTGCTTTTACCTCTTGATGTCGAGGGTGTAACGTATATACCAACAATGACTCGAATATAACACATAACCGACCTCAACATCAAATTGTAAACTAATGATACTGATTTCACTTTATAGACGAGAACCATTTCATTAATATCAAACACGTAAAAGAATTATACAACATTTAAGACAACAAAACTTATTCGATTTGTCTAAAAACAACATATTTGTCAACAATGAGTCTTAAAATTTATGACCATCAGTTAAAATTATACAACATATCAGTCGAATAAAAAAACCATTGATGATAAAAATAGTTTTCAAGAAAAGGGTAATATGGTCATTTTTACCCACTTGATGAATCTTGATTTTGTTTCTTTTGACCAAGATCCACACTTTGCCACCTTCCAATACCATAATCACACTCCAAACCACAAAGACTTGTAACCAACAAAAGACCCTACTTTTGTGATAACCCATTGACCAAATCCTCTTAAATTACCATTTTCTCCCCCACCCACGATGGTTGTTCACCTACAAAACACACACACACACACACCCACCTCCATTAATTACTCTTTAATCATCCTCCTAATCACCCACTAATTTCACTCCCATTCATGTCTAATTGCAACCTTAATTTCAAAACCAATTAGTTGTATCTACCATGACAATTACACCAACTTTGTCCTTCCCAAATTGGTAAGCCAAATAACCATTCAAGCCAAGAAAACCCTAAATTTCCCTTTTTCATATCTCTCTTTGCATTCTTTGTAATATGACTTCAATGGCATCATCAACCAACAATCTTGTACAATGTTGTTATCTTCAAAAGAATCATATTCAAACCGCGAAAAAGAACGCTTTCAAGGCGGGTTTCTTGGTATCTGGCTCGAGAAACGGAAAGTTCTTGAGACAGTCGTTTAAGGTGAAGGCGAACGTTGGGAGTTCTGGTAAAGGGGTCGAAACGGTGAATGGGAAGAAGGTGAATGGGGTGCATTTAGGTGATCAGAGAGGGATAGGTGTTAAAGATTGTAGCTTTGAAGAGCCCGATGATCGCGGGGTTCTTTTAGGTAGATTTGTTGAGAATCGATTTGTTTATCGACAAACGTTTGTTATTAGATCTTATGAAATCGGACCAGATAAGACCGCCACCATGGAAACGTTGATGAATCTTCTACAAGTAGGTTGAAAGTTCCTTTTTTTATTTCCTTTCAGTTGTTCTTACCAAATCTTTATAACGCAAGATAAAGACGATCTTTACTGACCATCAATCATCATGTTAGAGTCCCACATCGTCTAGATTTTGGCATTTTCTCGTCAATATATGTCAGAACGTCATTTTTCTTTTAAATGGCTCTTTTGGAGAGCAATTTATTACGTTCTACGTATTTTCACATTGTACAGTAGTCAACGTCTAGGGATTCCAACGTTTTGGGACAATTTGTGCCCTTGTTGGAACACGACATTCGTTAGTCTTAGACCATTGCGACGAGTCTTGATGTCGTTATTAAACACAATTTTCAAGGGTTTTACGGGTTACTTTTAATCGTATATTATTTGCTTACATGTTCCAAAAATTGGTTGTGTTGCAGGAAACGGCCCTTAATCATGTAACAAGTGCAGGTCTTGCCGGAAACGGCTTCGGTGCGACCCACGAAATGAGCCTTCGGAAACTGATATGGGTCGTGACTCGGATCCAAGTTCAAGTCGAAAAATATAGCTCATGGTAATTAAACAGTTAATTTATTACATAAATTCCCTTAATTCACCTCATTTTCATATTTTCTAACCAAAAAGTATTTAAAAAAATCGACAGGGGGGACGTAGTTGAAATCGATACGTGGGTAAACGCGGCTGGGAAAAATGGAATGAGACGAGACTGGATTATACGTGATTTCGTCTCCCAGAAAATTATAACTAGGGCTACAAGGTGAAATATTCATACAGATATAATTGTAATTTCATGGCTTTTTTTTCAATTATGTGTTATTATTTGGTTGAATTTAGAGTAAATCGAATGTGGTTATATATATATATATATATATATATATATATACGTATGTATGTATATGCAGTACATGGGTGATCATGAACCGAGAAACGAGAAGGTTATCCAAGATCCCAGATGAAGTTCGAAACGAAGTGACACCATTTTATCTGGATAGAAGTGCAATTGCAACGGAAAAGATCGATCACGAAAAGATCGAGAAACTTACGGATGAAACAGCTGCAAGAATTCGGCCCGGTTTAGCAGTAAGTGAAACAATTACATTTCATTATCTGAAATACATGTAATAATGCATGAAAATACAACGTATTTTGCTCAGACATCATTTATAATGGAACACCAAATCTTCTATCAAATATCAAATCTGACACAAAATCATTATATTGGGACACCAAATCTTACATCGAATTCGGTGCAACAAATTGGTGTGACACTGTTCATTTAAATTCACATCTTCCATACCAAAAAAAACGAAGGTTTTAAAAATACTGTATATAAAATAAAGATCAGTACAAAATAGTACGTATTTTCATGTAATTTACCCTATAAAAATTTAGTAAATTATTTGTTTGATTTTAATATGATTGAGCATGAAATTGTTTGAATCAGCCAAGTTGGAGTGACATGGATGCTAATCAACATGTAAATAATGTGAAGTACATAGGCTGGATTTTAGAGGTTTCTCTCTCTCCTCTCTCTCTCTCTCTCTCTTCTCTATGAAAACCCTAAATATTTTAAAAACCCTAAATATATATATATATATATATATATATATATTTGAACCTTCACAGCAAAATACTGTGAAAGTAACTTTCACAGTGTTTTTGCTGTGAAGGTTCAGATTATTTTCACCTTCACAATATTTTGTTGTGAAGTTTCAAGTGTAAAAATGTTGTCTAATGAAAACAGGTTGATCTCACGTGAACACAACACTATATATGTGTGTGTGTGTGTGTGTATGTATATGCCAATTACTATATTCATTAGTGAATATGAGCTATATAGTATATATGTAGAGGGAGTTTCAAATACGATATCTTTAATTAGTATCAACCACACAAATCAATCACAATTGTTTAATGAATATTTGGTTTCATAAATATTTCGATTGCTTCCTGATCTAAAACGTTAATCATAATGAATGAACTATGATCACCTTTCATAAATATCCAAATCATAACAAATTAACTCTTATAATTTCTATAAATATCTTAGATTGGTTTGTATGGTTTCTACTAATTAGAGGGTTTGTTTTTGAAACTCTCTTTGTATATATATATATATATATATATATTGAAGTTCATATAGTGTATATGTAATTATGCATATACTGGTTTTTCACGTTTCTTAAAATATTTATTGCTCTCGTTTAAACCTTTGCATATATATATATATATATATATATATATATATATATATATAGTCGGGATCATGTGAGAACAATTTTTTTTTCTGAGAACGATTAAAAACCTCTGAGCCATTGGACGATGGTAAATTTCACTCATATTAATACAAGTGGGTAGATGAATATGTGTGTTTTCACCATTTTTACCAACAACAAAAAAAATTGTTACTATTGATCCCTACTCTGTATATGGAAAAGTTCATTTAGAAACCAGATATATTTTGAAACTCCTAATAACCTACTATTCATTATCATTAATGATGAATATTAATATATTCATTATGAATATTGTATGTTTTCATTATTCATGATATTCATTATGAATAATTGATTCACACAGATGAATACATACAACTGAAAATGTTTCTTTCATGATATTCATAATCAATATCTTTTATGATATTCATCATGAATACATTTTTCAAAACATTCACGATTCACAAATGAATATAGACATATAAAATGCATGTTTGTAAGATGTACAAATGAATATGCAGAGTGTACCAATGAAAGTTCTAGAAGAGTACAACATGGGATGCATAACACTGGAATACAGAAGAGAATGTCGTCAATCTGATATGTTGGATTCCTTAACAAGCATGAAAACAAGGCACAACAAAAGTACAACTTCCAATGCGTATGGTACAACTCCAACAACACCACATTTGGAATGCACACATTTGCTTAGAATGCAACATGATACAGCTGAAATTGTCCGAGCAAGAACCGTATGGATTTCAAAATATTAAATTCTATTTTTTTTTTAAATATTTATTTCTTTTTTTTAATTTAAAATCCAAATTATTATTTCATTAATACACCGTAAATTTTATTTATACCGTCATCTAATTCACGTTTCCGATCATATTTTCCCCACTAAACAGGTTTTTAGACAAAAAAAAATTAATTAGTTCGATCAGATTAATGTTATGTTTGGTTTTCAGGAAGTTAAATTTGTTACAGTATTGGAATTTTAGATTAAAAATATGATCGAGAACTGGAATGTGATTATTGTATGCATAAAATTTATAATGTATTGATCAGATTACAGTTTGGATTGTAACTGAATGGTGGAACAGATGTTTTTTGGACTTATCGTCTTTCTTGTTACGATTCTTGATTATCCCGTGTTTACTTTTTTTTAAATTTTGATGTAAGGTTGTATTTTGGAGGATTTGAGACTTCGGGAGGTGTATTAAGATTAAACGTATTTCTGTATTTTTCTTTTAATTTACTTATGATATTTATGTATATATTTTATATTATTGAGCACAGTTAATTTAGTTTTCAGTTAATATTCATACATTTGGAGATTCGTCCCAAAATAAATGTTCATATTTCTATTTTACTTTGTCTCAAAATAAGCGTCTACTTTCGCATTTTACCTTTAGTTATCATATGTAAAAGAACCTATCTCTCAAGGGTAAAATTGTCTTTTGGTTAATTGAAACATGTAAAGGTTACACATTTATACCTTAAATCATGTACTTTGCCAAAATACATAACAGATGCAGGTTTAAAATCCTATTAAATACATATTTGAATCCCTCTGTTTACCTTGACCGTCAAACCAGCTCACGAAATGCTTCCTCATATGAGGTGCCCAGGCGGCGGATTCCCGTTAATCAATCTTTTTGCTCAAGACAAAATTTTAAACATGTTGTCATCAGATAATTAGGAGCCGTTTACTAAACGTTTGCCCGATAAGTGTTTATCGGGTAATTTTTCTTACCGGATGAACAAGACAAGGGTAAAAAAATCTTACATGATAAGAGTAATGATAAAGATAGAGAGTCTTACTCAGTAAGTGAGGATGACGACTCTTACCCGGGTAAATTATTGCATATGATACCATTTTGATGTACTACAATCTTACCCGGTAAAATAAATTATAGTTTTGGTTTTTAAGGGTAAGTACTTACCGGGTAAGCATTTATATAAACGTCCCCTTAGTCTTCCATCATCTTTCATAAATAACTCATTAGCCCTTGAACTTCATGTTTCAAAAGGTTTCACAACTAACCCTACTAACTTTACCTTTGTTTTATTGAGGTGTTACAATTTGATGGTAAGCTTATAAAAGTATTTTAATTTAATACCACTAAAATAATATTATTAGGTTCTGTTTTTTTTTTTTTACAATCTGCTATGCGAGTCGACTAACCATAGAACGATCACTTTCTTTGTTGGTAACCCAGAGTCACCACATGTGAACCTCCGTTGCCACAAGAGGATTTTTATTTCTCCTTGGATTTGAACCTGAGACCTCCACACAATTTTGATCTTTGGAGTCCAAGCTCAAACCAATCAGGTATTACCTTTATGGTTTAGGTTCAGTTTTTAGGTCATATATGGTAGAGTGTCTAATACTCTAAAAATAAATAAAATACTTTAATAAACATATAATTTATTAAAATAAATACAAAAAACATCCTAATATATTTAATAAAATAAAGTTTTGTAGAATCATTAACATTAATCTTTTTTTGTAAATAAAGTGTATAAATAACATTTACTTACAATAATTTTTATTTCAGAAAATATATATATTTTTAAACTAAAAGTTTATAAAATATTATACATTCTAAAAAACATATTTTATTTATTTAAAAAACAAAAAAGTTTTTTTTTATTAACTTGGATATTCAACCTGTCATACGAGCCGACTAATCCCAAGGCTACCACCTGTTTTGCGGGTAGGGATGAGCATAGGCGGGTACTCGCCCTATTTGACAGGATCCGGCACTGGCAGTTCTTGAGATATTGGAACCGGAACCGGTTAGAACGGTTCTTGAATTTTTGGAACCAGAACCGCTGAAAACCAGTTCTGGTTCAGGGTACCCGCTTCCTAAAATATTTAAATTTTGTTATTTAGAAATAAAAAATAAAACATTGCCAAAACACTAAATAAATAAACAAGAATACAAATTATATAGAATAATAGTTACAAATATTGTTTAACGATTACAAATCATAATAGACTAATAGTAAATGTTGAAAGTTTAATGATTACATACTGTAATTGTAAAAGTTCAAAGTTTAACGATTACATACTACGAATCCAATTAAACACACAATTTGAAAAAATACGAATCATTTTATCTAAAATTCTGAATGTAGAGTTCTAACTTCTTGACCTAATTTAAATTTAGTATTAAAAAATTAATTATTTTTTAATTGAAAAATACCGGGTACCCGGTCCCGGAACCGGTCCCAGTGGGTAACGGTTCCGAAAAATTGAGAAGCGGAATCATTCTCAATCGGTTCCGTATTTTAGGAACCGGAACCACTCATATCGGTTCCGGTTCTGAAACCGGCAGTTCCAAGACAGTTCCGCAAGTGGGTACCCAGTTCCGCTGCTCACTCCTATTTGCGGGTAGCCCGGAGTCACCGCATTTGAACCTCCGTGGCCACAAGAGGATTTTTATTCCTCCTTGAATTTGAACATGAGACATTCAGGTACTCTTGCTCTTTGAAGCTCAAACTCAAACCAATCAAACACATTGTGGTTTATTTAATTTTTTTTTGGTAACATACTACAAACACAACATTTTTATTTATTATAAAACATATTTTAAAAACATCTATACTTAAAAAAAAACATATTTTAAAATACATATTAAAATATTATGTATCATTAAACAATTAATTTTCAAATTATTTTTATTTTTTGGATTTTAAAATGACAGATTTCATTGTTTGTAATTCATTGTTAATTTTGTTCATACGGTTGATTCCTACTTTTAAGTATGAAGATGAAAGCTACAAAGTAATGTAAACCACGTTAATAAAAATAAAAAAATAAATTATAAATAATAAGAACGAAAACAGTAGTAAATTATAAACCACATCATTCAAAAAGTACATGGACAAAATAACAGTTTTCAACAAACCACAAAGGCCAAAAACGTGATTTACCTTTTAATTTATTTTGAACGAAAAAAAGAAGCAAAGTTCAGTTTTGGTTCTTAACGTCGCAATTTTCAATGGATATAATATGTAAATTTCAAAAACCCCGATTTGGTTCCTCGGGTTTGTCAATTTCCAACGGTTTTGGTCCTTTCGTCTAATGATAGTTAAACTTTTTTCCCTTAGTCCAGGTAAATGAGGGTATTTTAGTCATTTCACTATTGTTCTACTTTTATATTAAATTTTAAAAAACATATATATTATATAAAAAACGATACCCCATTATTGCCCACGCTATCTTCCTCTCTCACCTAAAACAACCAGACGTTCAACATAACTCTTTTGGCAAAACTCCGATGAGATTACATCGAGACGACAAACAAACGTCTTACTCCCCCATCTGAGACCCCCTCTTTAGGTTTTATTTCGTGAATCGCGACTCCATCTTCGTCTTTGATCGCTCCTTTTTTACAATTTAAAAATATAATTATTTTAATTATAATATAAAATTAAGAAAATAGTGAAAATGACTTAAATAACCCTCATTTAATTGGAATTAACGAAAAATAACAACCATTAGACGAAAGGATCAAAACCGTTTAAAATTGACAAACGTATCACACCAATCCAAGTTTTTGAATTCTAAGAACGATATCCGTTAACACCCGTAATAGTTACAAGATAGGCATCGCAACGGGCGGGTTTTTGTAACCCCTGCCCCCGGTTTGTAGTAACATCCCCTGGCCCCAGCCTCGTTCCCCGGTGATTCTCGGCCTTGGGACCTGTTTTAGTGGGAAATCCTCGTTTCCATTTGGGTCGAATGAACAGGATTTCCCACCGGATCAGAACAAATCACCGACTGTATTAAAGGGCTAAGATTGAAAATTGGTTTTTAAAAAAAATAATAAAAAAGGAAATGACTTGGTGGATAAGACATGTGATGGATAGGCAGTCAAAGTAGGGTGCATAATGTTGAGTGGCCCATTCCATGTCCTTTTTTTCGTTTTCTTCTTTATAACACATGTGAAACATATAATTTAACTATTTAACCCATTCTTCTTTTTGTCTACCTTTTACAATTATTATTATTTTATTATTATCCTAAATTATAATAATGGTTTTTACCTGTATGGAACGACTGTGTTTTTTTAATTTGAATGAGAGGTTTGGAAAAACTTGGCTTTCTATATAAAACTCTTTTTTATAAGCTTATTGAATAAGTTATTTTCTTTATCATTAAGTGATCGTCAAATAGTCATGTATGGCTGATTGAATAAGTTGTGAGTCGTTGGATGTTAAATTTTATCATCCGATCCAGCAATTAACATTATTCGAATGGATGTTTGGATCAGTTCAGTTCCATCTATTAGATATTACTATGTTAATTCAAATATGAAGCTTAATAAGTTGTATTTATGCATAATTAATTACTTATAATCTTGAATTTTAAATAATATGCATCAAAATACAATACTTCATGTATAAAAGATGGTTTTTAAGAATTTTAATCAAATAATTTAAACATAATATAGACAAAAGTAATTAATTTAAAAAAAAATAGTAAAAAACTTAAATTAAGTAATAGTGTTCCCATGTACTAAAAGTTGGAGACATTTATCAATTTAAAAATGGAAATTTGTTTAAATGTGTAGTGGACATTAATATTTTTTATTTGCTTTTCTGATATTCCTTTCACATTTTTATTATTATTATTATTATTATTATTATTATTATTATTATTATTATTATTATTATTATTATTTTGTTTTTATTCTAGAAGCATTTATTAACCTTCTTTAAATATAAGCATAAACGCAGGTTAAAGTTTAGTTCATTATGTTAAAATTTTAAGTCCGGCCACTTTTGTGTTTTGCTACTGAATACATGGACGAAAGATCGTGTACGAAGAGTTAAGCTGAGAATAATAAGAAATGATGTGAATCATTGATCATATTTAATCTCAAACTCACCATGAATAGCGTTTGATATGTGAATTGATCTAATGCATCTCAACCTAATGTGCATTTTAAGAATGAAGATCTCTTCTTACGATTCTCACAATTACTCTCCTTATCACTGGAACCTAACCCCATATATATAGGGGTTTAATCAAATAAAAACTGTTTTGTTTGCAATAAACGTGAGATCCTATCTCAACCATAAATCAAAGGTTAAATTAGAAAATTAATAATTTTAGTAATTTTAACTTAAAATATCAATTAAGGGCATTTTAGGGATTTTATAAATATCCTTTCTTATCTCTTCTCTTTCCTTTCTCCGGCGAATCTTATTCGGTTAACCTTATTCCGATGAACCTTATGTGAACATAAGATACAAAGTGTGATATCTACAAACGATATTCACTGTAATATCCAAATATACATACAAGATGCACAATGTAATACCCTTTGTAAAACAATGAAAATAACGAAAATGTATATTATGATACATTTCATAAAACAAAGAAAATACATTGTGATACATATGAAACATTTGAACGTTATCACTATGATACACTTTGATTCACAAACGTGTTTAAAATACGATGTATATTAAATAATTGATATACTAGTTAACTAATTTTAATTAAATATTTCCCTCTAATACGATGTATATTAGATAATTGATACGCAATTGCGACGGTAAAACTGGTTGAATTTGATTTTTTTTGTCTTTTATATTGCCGAAGTAGTGACATTTAAGTCAACCTAGGAGAAAATTGGTTATAAGACCAATTTGGATGTGTGAAATGGTCATTTGAGCCAACTTTCCAAAATTATAACGAGTATTATAATTATAAGTTGATAATAATTTGTAATAAAATGTTATAGTATAACCACAAAAGTGGTGCCTGATTGGTTTGAACTTGTCTCCAAATGTCAAAAGTAACTGAAGGTCTAAAGTTCAAATCCAAGGAGAAATAAAAAAATCCCTTATGGCCACGGAGGTTCAAATGCGGTGACCCTGGGTTATCTGCAAAACAGGTGGTTAGCTTGGGATTAGTCGGCTCGCATAACGGGTTGGATATCCAGGTTAATAGAAAAAATGTTATAGTATAAGTTTATGTACAATATTTTTCTTATATAAAACGTTTATAATAAGTTTGATAGTGAATTTGAGGGGGGACAAAATTTGCTAGCCATCCCATAAGTAGTTTAGGTCAACTACTTATCGAGTTGTACTCCAACGTACAACTCTATATAGCGTAAGTGATACTCATTTTCTTTTGGTTTCGAACAGATATTTTAGAAGAAGTTAAATCCTCGAGTCATTTCCAATCCAGTTCTTCATAATCATCTGTATGTGTTGACTGTAAAAGATGACGCTTATCAAAGAAGAGATTAACAGGAAATAATCATGCACCGTGTTTTATTAATCATTGAGACTTGTGTATAGTCAGATAAAAACATCATATCTGTTGCCTTATGTTAAGACGTAAATTGGAGTTTACGACCAAGTTTACTGGAACATTAACATGGTAAGATGTAAACAGAAAAGACTGGTTTAAAGTTATATATCAAATTATAGTAGATTACTAATATTTTAGTTTATGTCTCATCTTGTTCCACATATTTTGGTGGAACAAAAAAATGCTTCTTTTGTCCCATTATGTCTCACTTTTGTCCAGTTCTTGTCCATGTCTCATGTCACACCAAACGTGGGACAATGAGTTTTATCTCGTTTTATCCAGTCTCGTTCCATGCACCAAATGCAGCCTTCATGAACGATATTTTTGGTATATATGACAGGACCAAAGAGTACAGGAAATGGTAAAAATAATTGTTTCTTGTTTGATGCAATATAGTGTCAAACACTGTGCAGACAACTTGTAAGAGCATCTCCAACAGATTCTTTAAAATGAAAATAAAAAAAGCTAATCTCTGCGGAAAAAATATGTTTATCTCCAATAACTTCTATATTTTGGAGATTAAATATTAATTATATTATTAAAATATTTAATACAATTCCAAAAATATTATTTTTCTTTTAATAAATATTCAATTTTAAAGATTCTCATTGGTATGAAAATAAAAAATAATAATTTCACTTTCACAATCAATCATTTTTTAAGAAATCTTCAAATTTGGAAAATTTTGTTTTCTTTCTTTTACGTTCTTCATTTTAGAGAATATTTTTGGCAAATTGAATGAAAAATTAACGTACTTTAACTTAATTCATATTTTGGGTAATGTACTCCTAAAACTTTCATTTTAGTACCTAAGATGTAAAGTTTAAACATTTAAGTACCCAGGTAACACGGTGAAGCATTAACCTATTATCACGCTCATGTGTCGAGTGATGCTCAACTCAATATTATTAGCTGTCGTGGTTAGTGACATGAATTTTTTTAATATAAAATTAGTATCAACCGATTACACGGGTACTTAAATGCTTAAAACTTTACATATTAGGTACAAAATAGAAGTTTTGAAAGTATGTTACACAAAATAGAAATCAAGTTAAAGTACGCTACTTTTTCATGCAATTTGCCTACAATATTTTGTGGCAAAAAATCCACCAAGGTTGTTTCACTTTTTAGCCATGTCAAGAACAACTTCTCCAAATAGTCATAGTTTACGTAGAATCCTTACACAAAAAGACTGCTTTTGGTTGAAAACAAAGTTTACACGAAAAGAGGTTTCTGTGTAAACTTTGTTTAAAAAAGTTGGAAAATTTACGGAAAAAAAAGGGGTTTTTGTATGAACTTTCGTTTTAATTATTTTTGTAGAAATCAATCCTGACACATACTTTTTCTTTTTTTGTTCTTTCAGTCCTGTCCAGTCAAGCCCTATTTGTAAATCAAACGCAACCTGATCAAACTGTCTAAGGGGCCCTTTACCAAACACTTACCCGGGTAAGCGCTTACCAAATCACATTATCTCACCGGATGAATATAGTAAGGACCAAAAATCTTACCCGGTAAAAACGAGACAAAGACCATGAGTCTTACCCTGTAAGTGAGGGCAACGATTCTTACCACGGTAAGCGCTTACCGGGTAAATTGTTACATACAATGTCGTTTTGGTGGACTAAAATCTTACCCGGTAAGTAAATAATAGTGTTAAAGTTTATCGGTAAGCACTTGTCGGGTAAATTGTTGCATACAATGTCGTTTTAGTGGATTAAAATCTTACCCGGTTAGTAAATAATAGTGTTAAAATTTACCGGTAAGCACTACCGGATAAGCATTTGGTAAACGACTCTTAAATCATATTTACTTTTTAAAAGTATAATTAACTAAAAAACCAGTTAAAGAAAATATAAAATATTATAGAAGGTATAAATGTGTACCATTTTCCATGGGTTAATCAGAAAGTACACATTTTTTTTAACGAACACAAACAAGTATTAAAAGGGCACGTACAACAACAGTGTACATGCATGCACTTCCACTCACACATTATTTTCACTTTATTTCTTTTTTCCTTTTTGCCTTTTTTATTTTCTAAAATAATTATTATCAAAAAACGTAAATATTATATTTTTGTCTCTGTTGATGTTATAATAAAAATTTATATAATTTTAAGTAAACAATAATATTTTTTTTAATAAAATATAAATTTGTAGATATCAAAATTTTTTAAAAATATAAAAAGTTCTTATTTTTTTGTGTGATTTTTTAATTCAAATTTTTTATTATAATTTAATTTAGGTTTCATGACGAAGTAATTTATTTTTGATTTAATAATATAATTTTTATGAAAACTCAATAATTATCATAATTATATTTTAGATTTTGTATTTAAAATAAGAATTTTATCATGTATTTCATTATATTTATCTACAGTTAGTTACACGAATTCAAATATGAAGCTTAATAAGTTGTAATTATTCATAATTTACTTTTAATTTTAAATTTTAAGTAATATGCATCAATAAACAGTATTTCATGTATAAAATATGGTTTTAAGAGTTTTTTTTTTCCAATGCTTTATAATACAGTTAGATAGCTATATTTGTTATATTATAAAATAAAATTAACCAAAATGACCAGTTTATACATAGCACTTTAACAAAATGACCATTTTCACGGTTTACTTACAAAATGGACACAAAAAATACCTCTGAAATTCGATTTTGGCATTTCATGTGCGGATGAGTCTCACATGCATACCAATTTGTAGGACAAAAATCTGATATTGTAATACTTTTAATTTTGTTGGGGTGGACAAAAATCCCCAGATGACATCTCGTGGGTGAAAAGTGAATTTTTTTTTGTCATTCGGATTTTTGAAAATTCAAAAAAAATAGTTAAGAGGTAAATTGAATCACTGAAAATGGTTATTTCTGTTATTATCATGTTCAAATCTAATGATGAATAAAAATCTCTTTGTAGCCATGGATGTTCAAATACGGTGACTCCAAGCTATCTACAAAAGTAAGTTGTCGCCCTAGAATTAGTCGGCTCACATAACGAGTTGGATATCCAGGTTAATTAAAAAAAAACACAACCAAATATCTCATTTAATTCATATGAAACCTATTATTTTTTTATAATTAATATTTAAAGCATTTAACAAACATTATTTTTCTAAAATTAAAAAAAAAGGTCTCACAAAATTCTACAGCTTTTTTTTTTCTTTCTGCAGACACTTTTATACAGGTCCACATGTAAACCCATTACAAAAAGCTCGAAGAGAAACCATGGCCATGGCTTCCCTTGTGCTTTTACAATTTTACCCCTAAAACATTTACATTACACTGCATGCATTGGGGTTCTCGTCACTGAACATTTGTGGAGCTGGTGAGTACCCATACGCTGTTTCCGCGGCGTATCTAGAAGGGTATAATTGGTAGTTCGGTGGTTGATAATAATAATATTCATTCTTCCTCATCTCCATCACCGCCGCCGCATCCTCTGGTTTTCCGGCGTCTTCTTGCTTCTTGTCACCACCTTCATCTGGTTTTTTCTCTTCCTTCTCACCGTCGCCGTCGCCACCCTTTTTCTCGTCTTTATCGTTCTTTTCTTCTTCCTTCTTAACCTCCGGATCTTGTTTCACGATCACCGCCTGTTTTCCGGTTCTTTTGTGAACGTAATCCACCAGCTCCGTCGCCGGAAAAGTACCCTTCACCGCCACCTGTGAACTCTTCAGATCTGGCACTGCACTTTCCACCCCTATAAAAAAAAATCTCCGGTGGTTATGATTTTCTTGAAATATTTGACTAAAATTCAAGATTTTGACCACAAAAATTGAAGAACAATAATCCGAATCAAAAGAGAATATACAGATCGTGATGGATTTGATAAAACAAGATTCAAATTCATTAAAAAAAAGGAATTTTTAATTAATTATTTAAAAGAAAGGGAAATTTATAAAAATAACCGGTTTACACAACCCTTTGCCACAAAATAACCACATTTTAGAGGTTTTGCCAAAATACCCACCCGGATCGCC